AATCTTCACTCTTTCCTTGTTCTTGGAAAATCTATAGCTTTTTAGACCCTAGTGCTTGAGGCCAATTTGGAGAGCATTTCAAGAGCTTCACTTTGTGCGGTAGAGATCAAATTTCGACACAGCCAATTTTAGGGCTTTTCTCTCATCTTTCTCCTAGAGCTTGAGGTAGGGAGTTTTTTTGAGTTATATATATGTTTTAACAAATTTATTGCCATTTTGATGAAATAATTGTGTAGTTTGAGTTAGGGTTTGGTTTGGAAGATTTTTTATTTTCAAAAAGGGTTTTTCTCAAATGTTTTCTTCAATCCATAAGAAAATACGTATGTGATAGTTGGGAGCTCTATTTTTGTAAAAATCTTTCCAAAATGAGAAACCCTAATTTTTGTGAAAACCCTAGGTTTTGGAAATTTGGGAAAAAGTTGAGATTGTGTGGAATTATACATTGTTGAGATTCATTGTTGAGAAATGATGAAGAAATTGGCACGTTCATTCTCATTGTTGAAAACCCATGGAAAAGAGAGACTGATGTTGAGAAATTATGAGAATAGTATGTTGTTATGCTTGTTTTGAGAAGATAAAGAATTGAAAGGATGATTATCCTATTGAAATTTTTTCGATTATATGAGAAAGAAAATACATATGATGATGTGTTGCTATTATCTGTTGGAACATATTGTGTATACATATAATGAGTAGAGATGTGGTATTTGATCACAATTGAGAACTGTGTTGTTGAGATTGGAAATTATTGAGGAAAATTGAACTTTGCAAAATGTTGATAAATTGTTTTGTCATCTCATCTCATTCTCATTGCTTTTCAAATTGGCATTGTCGAGGTTACACTTTGGAAAAGAAGTATTTGTGAAACAAACTTTCGTTTTGAGTTGTGTTGGGATAAATACGTTTGGTAAGTGTGGTTAGGGGGTGTACAGTTGAGAACTAAGTTGGCTTGAGGTCTATGGTGAAAGTCCAAAAACTCATGCAGAGTAGGTACCAAGTTCCTTCCGGTTAAGAATCAGTAAAGTGGTTTTGGTGGTGCTTAAGAGCCTACTTACAGACACTAGCTTAGAAATTACTTCAATCGTATTTACCACCCCTTGATTATATAATGAAATCATTGAATTGATTATGTTTTCGAATAAGCATCTTGCATGAGATTTTAAAATGAGAAAAATTTACATTTTTGAGTATGACATGGCATTTGCATCCATCTCATGATGATTGCTTAAAATGTATATACTTTGACAAGATTTCCCTACTAGGCTTCATGCTCACCCCTAGTGGAACCGCTGACAGGTAAAGATGCTGTGACCCTGCCGAAGTAGGGGCACAGGGGACTTTTGGAGCGCAGGACTCAGTTACTTGTATTCTGTTTTTGACAAGCCAAGGGCTATATTTGTATGGATTTGATAACCATTCCATGTAACCTGGCATAAGCCTTGGAACTTGTAGCCCATGGCACATTATTTTGTACCTAGTTTACTTAATTATTCTCATCACATGCCATAGATTCACATTCTAGAAAGTGTTGAATGTATAATTGCATGTGGAGCATTTTCTAAATCTCATGGGTATATTATGAAATACAAATGTGGAGATTTAGTCATTATGTTGGCCAAGATGCTATTGTTCCTGTTCATATGCGACCGACGGAAATCAATGGAAATTTAGAACACATTGATGAGTAATCTGGGTTTGTCAAATGTTAATTATTTAGGGGCGTTACAGAAAAATTGGTAAGAGTAGAAATGACACAAAATATCTTACGTTAATTTTTTTTGTTTTTGAGAAACAAAAGCCACAAATAAATACAAACGAATTCCTACTGAAGCTTTATCAAATGTGAGACAAATGTGTTCATCTTGCTTACATTGAGTTGTTCAAATAATCACGATTCCAAACAATATAATCATTAAGTACTAAACTTTGGCATAAATTTGCCGAAGTTTTTCTTGAGAGCCATAGAGTTGGTGCTACTATCATGGGAACTATGTCAGGGAACAAAAGAAAAAAAGCGAGAAAAAAAAGAGGCCATGTTACTAACACCTGCCATACTTGATAGCCTAGAAATATTAAATAAATTTGCAAAAGTTTTTTTGAGACCCATATTTTATTTTTTGAACAGACAAAGAAATATTAAATAAAATGCTCGAAAAGGGAGAGCCACCAGGCAATACCTTGGCAACTGCTGTGCCTGATCCCATGGCAATTCCTATGTCAGCTTTCTTTAGTGCAGGTGCTCCATCGCCAGTCATTGCAACCTTACAATCATATAGTTTACAATTAATTTCTAGAGCAGGAAAAACACATTTGAAAAAGAAACTGGAAACCTAAATGCTTTGCACAAACAGTTGGTCAATATCTAAACAAATAGTGCATGCTGAGCTCAATTCAACTCTTGATTTAAACAGAATACACATGCGCGCAGTTATGATTTGTTCTACTTTCTGAAAAATTACAAAGATAAGAAATCCAAACGCAGTGGAATAGGGACAGTTCTGGCTATGGTCACAACAACAAAAACAAAGAAACAAAGAAACAAAACTATGATTACCTACCCCCACCCATCCACTCCAAGCAGAATGAAAGTAGATGGAGAGACTTATAACCATTGGGTTAGCAGATGCAGAAAGGGTTTAGTAAGTGGACTCAATCTTAGAGTTTAGTCTAACAATGCATGCCTGACAAAACTAAACTCATAACACTTCTCACCCCCAAAAAACTAACTCACGAATGACATATAAATGTAAGTAAAACCAAAGTTAGGTTCAGCTACTACTACATGTACGATATGTCTTCATTGCGCCACAGTATCCCCATCCGTCCTTTGAGTTGGGACTAACCCATGGACATGCATAGATCACCACTAAAAAACTGCTTTACAATAGATCTGCTACAATATATCAGCATAACAGTATCATATGTACCTTGATGTAATCTTCATGAGATCCTAAATACTATACCAAGTAGAAGGATGATCAGCCACATTGTGACTAGATGAAAGCTAACTTACGGGGAGAGAGTAACCACAGTAGGTCAATTCACTAGTTTCAATAAATATAGCCATGAGAGCAAATATTGAAGTGGTGAGAGTGAGAGTGAGATTGAGATGACATAACACCATTTGGCTTTCTCAGAACATTCCAAGATGTGCTTTTATTTTATGGCTCCTATGCCAAGAAAGATTGGCCACTAAAGATAGGCTAAAGGAATGGGGGATGGCAGTTGAACCTAAATGTGGTCTGTAACATTCCAGAAGAATCTCAGAGCATTTATTTTTGGAATGCCCATTTACTTCCCTCATTTGGATAATGTGCTTCAGAAAAATGAGATCAGTAGATACCCTCAAAGCTGGAGTGAGGAGGTTCTTTGGACAGTCCAGTATTGTAAGAAGGATAATTTCCTAACTGCTGTTTTCAAGCTTTTAATGGCTGTTGCAGTCTACCATGAAAGGAAAGAAATAGAAGAATCTTCACCCAAAAAAGAAATGGACCTTTGATTATGAAAGCTATTGGGGAAGATGTGAGGTTTAGAATCAATACTTCGAGAACGGTTAAGAATAACTTTGCAAATTGGCAGACGTGTTAACAGTGGGATATTGCTGTACTGATACACTTTGATAAAAGTCGTTAGTGTACCATGATGTCAGTTTTTTTTTTTTTTTTTTAGAACACAAAACAAAAGATATTTATATTTATATCAATTCAGTACAAAGTCTAGGATTAAAAAGGGTTCGGTTTTTAGGCTTATAGTCTTTAGATGTTGTGTGAACAGTCTTGCTGTGCTTGCAACAATTTGTTTGTGCTAGGGGAATGACCCTTCTGCTGATGTACATTTTGTCTCCCACTCAGACCTACTGGACATCAGGATCATACAATCATTCTGATAACTGAGACGTAGGAGACCTACCACTTCATTTTGGTGTTGTAATGCTTCAACCAGCATCCTTTTATGAGATGGCTCAACCCTAACAAGCAGCAAAATTATGCCCGAATTACAAGATATAATTCAAAAAATTAAAATTCTCAAGAAAAAAGTAAAATGACTAAAGAATTATCAAGTGTCAAGTATACCGGGTGAACAGTGTCATGCGTTGTAATGCCATTGCTTTTTGTAGTGCTGGAAGCTCTTCAAACTCAGAAGCACTGTAAGAGTGTCCACCAAAATCTCCCATGTTATCGAAAGCACCTATCTTTTGACACAGTGATTTTGCAGTACTCTAAAGTTGCCTCTCAAGTTAGAAAAGTACCCTTGAATATTTAAAATATTAAAAAAGATTACATGATATTACAAAAAAATTAATATTGATAATTTAAGTTACCTTGTTATCCCCTGAGCTGTCATGCATGAAAGTATAGCATTTCTTACTTCTTCTCTTGGTGGATCAAGCATTCCAACCTTTAATTTTATTGAACATAAAAAAGAGTAAGAGAACAAGAAGATAAATGGCAACATGAAGACAATATCCAAATCCAAAAGATCGATTATTTTTACGCTCAACAGGGAGAAACTAAAATCAATAGAACAAAATTTGATCAACCAATCATAGTTCAATAATGACTGTCTCAAAGAGAATGTAAAGCATTTAAAACTTGTTTTACGTGCTTTTACATTGTTTATTTATCTCCCTACAAATATCTTTTCATTTGAGAGAAAACCATTTGAAACTTCTAATAAATTCTCCTTCCCTCTTTCTTTTCCTTTCTCTAGATACAACCCAACCAAACAAATGAAAGGGTGGGTGATACAAAGCATGACAAGAAGAAAAGTGGCAAATCAGCGATTTCATATGCAGTGCACCCTAGACATTATACAATCATGTTACGGTTAATTCGTCCACGTTCCAAACCCTTCCCCAATCTTCCTCTTTCTCTATACAAAGGAAGCAAAACACTGTTCCAAAGTTACTACTCACAATCCCAATTCCCAACCCAAAATCCTTCCCCAATCAAGCATTAACCAAGCCTAATCCCTAATTATAGGGGGATGCAATGGCAGGCAGTACGTGATGATATCGTGGTGTGTGGTAGTCGGAGTCACAAGGACGCTGGGTGAGATTGGATCGCACCAGAGAGAGGAGGCAACATCATGGGGGAGGGGGAAGCACTGGCCTAATGGTGAGGGATGGGAAGCAATATCAGCATGATTGGAGACAAAGGCAACGACAGCATGGAAGAGGCAAACGCAGAGATGGAGATTGTTGTTTGTTTTAGTTCGGCAGTGGTTATAAGATAGAAGTTAGACATTTGGGGGATAGGGTTTTAGGGATGTAGGGTAGACGACTTTTTTTGGGAGGTGGTTTTTTTGGCCATGGAAACTTTTCATTTTTTTTTTCTCTCTTTTTATATTTTATTTTTCTTTCAATTTTAAGGTAACAAAAATACTGAAACTACCAAGGAAGATTTTGGCATTGATCTCTCTCTCTCTCTCACTCAAACCACCACCTAACAAAGTCACTAGTGGCCACCACCAACTTCACCATCGGTGGTCATCACACCTGCCTCTGAAACTTACATGCAGTAGCCACCGTCACCCAACATCTTCTCCAACTCCAACAGCAGTCTACCATCATGAGCCATCATTTCCTGTGTTGGGGACCTGGTACAACCCTCATCATCTTCCTCTTCCTCCCTCCTTCCATCTTCATCAATCAAGCTCTTTCCTCTATCTCTCCAGCTCTCGTTCACTCTCTGGAAACAACTAATTTAAACTTGACAGATTAACAACTTAAACTCTAAAAATGACACAATTTCACCATGACCAAAGCAAATCTAATTGCATGTTGTTTATGTTTGGAGCAGCTCTACAAAAACACATCATAATGTCAAAAGCTGTTAGGTCACATTTAAACAAAATATTTCTTAGTGCCACCATGCCAAATTAATAGAGCTTTGGAGTGGTTCATATTTGCAGCATTCATAATATGATATGAACAAGGTTGTTCATTATATTAGTTGTTCCCAAAGTTTTTAAGGGCAAATGCATAATGCAAGGCAAATTAGCCCTCATGAGGTGAGGTGTAAGCCTCAAGATAATGAGGTGTTAGCATTTCAAATTTCAAATTTTTATATTTAGGACATAAATAAAGTATTTTAAAGTAGTTAAAAAGTATTAAAACTTAAATATAAAGGTGTAAATACTTTTCTCCTCAATGCACTGAACATTTCACTATCGTCGAGGTGCGTACAAGCTGTCCTACTCGGTTATTGAAGTTGAAATCGACATTCTAAACTTTAATTATTAAGCTTCTTACTTAAGCTTTAGGATTGTGTTTTCTTTGGTTGATCATTTACTTGATTTTTCCTATGAAATATAGTTACAAAAGAGGTTTTTCTTTTATGTTTAAACCATGTAGGAGACAAAGTTTAACAACAGCCCAAGACAAACTCTCCATGTGTGTACTTTTCATATGTTTTTTTGTGCAAGATGCATACAAGGCACACCTAAGACGCATATGCCTTAGACAGTTGAGGCGCATGCCTTAGACAGTTGATGCGCGATTTTGGAAAGTGTTGCCTAAAAATCAAGGCCTTAATGCATTTTCCCTTAGCCTTACCTTGTAGAGAGCCTCAATAATGGCTTTAAAACTTTGATAGTCTGACATTGATTTAGAAGAAAAACGGCTTCACTTCCACAAGTCATAAAAACATATTCTCTCCCTTGGGCTAATTGATTGGTTATGCTTGTAGATTGGCCCATTTTGCAAGAGTTAGTGCAAAGCTATAGGCAAGTTTCTTTCCAAAAGACATTTAAAATCATTAGGCCTGCGGTTCAAAAAGACATGTGAAATCATTTGGTTTGGTTTACAAAAGACGGTCCAGTTCTCGATTCCAATGTTGGAGAACCATAGATGGTCAGTTCAGTTCTAGGTTAAGTATAAAGCCAAACTAACCCCACCCAAGTGCATCACTAACCAGAACAGATCCAAAACATCCCCAATCATGCAGCAATCACGCCAAAACCTTTACCCCACTTATTAGCCTTCAAATAAACAATTAAATCTCATAAAATAACAGCTTCCCTGGAACTTTCAGCAGTCAATTCTGTTAATCCTGCAACCATACAATTTAGAAATCAAACAAAAATTCAACATTTTTTATCTACAAACCCCAAAAGCATTCTTTTATCTTCTACAACCTAACCCTCACAAATTTCCATAACCAAAACCCACTGCAATTCCACTTATAATCAGCATTACGCCAAGTTTCCTAATGTTATCATACTGCAAAGGGATTTTCAATCTTTCCTTTTCTTCTCTTCTCTTACCAACCATAGCATGCTGGACGCATGGTTCTAAATTGCAGTATTGAGACACATAACGGTAACGATCATGGTATAACAATATCAAGAGTATCAACTATACATACTGGGATCAGCAACTCACCTAAAACTCAATAATACACATCTTCAGATGACTTTAATCTTAACTGGTCATATTTTAATAAATATTGGGACATTTAAAAATATATTTTTCATACTGTATGGACTAATAAAATTAATGTTAATAAAAAAAAAATGGCCCCTTTTCATCAATTGAAGTTCTACAGTATGAAAACCTGTGAGAGTAAGAACCTGTCTTTCAATCCCACATCAAGTGAAAGGAGAGATGAGCAACCCAACTACAATAAAACAAAGACATCTACCAATGCACACTCAAGAGTCTCACATCGGCTAGTTACTCAAGCAACAGCCATCCCACTAGCTTTAAATAAGCCTTATAAATTATACCCATGAACAGAAAGTACTCAATCATTGGTTAGTCCGACTCTCCGCACCACATGGCTGAATGGATGACTAAGATGATTGTTTTAAATACCCACTACACCACTACCACCTCACCTACTCCACTAAACCTAACCCACTACACCACTACCACCTCCACTTCACCTACTCCTTACCTACTACACACTCACCCTCTTCTATATATAGGAATCATGAATCATTGTAACAAATACACAATGTATCAATAAATCAATCAATATATATCAATCAATAATACATCAATTTTTACAGACACTTCTAAGAAGGTGGCATGTTAGATACTAACACTGACCGGACACTTCCTAACACGTGAAAGACACAAGTCCAAACATGTGCTGCTATTTTTTATAATTTTTTTAGACTCAAGTCATTTGAGGGACTCGCATTCATTGCTTAGGCACATATGAAACACATTACAAGTTTCAACAAAATAACTTTCAATTTAAAAGAAAAAGAAAAAGAAAAACAACATAAATTTATGCCTATTAATCCATTCTCCTTTAAACTTTAGAATTCAAGGTATGTTATATATTTTTATTAAATTTGAGTGAAATATTTATAAATGACATATAATAAATATAGAAAACCATAAATTTGTGTGTTCCTCAAGTGTCGTGTTTTACATTTTTTTTAAAATTGTTATGTTGGCATGTCCGTATCGTATCACGTGTTCGTGTCTGCACTTTTTTAGTATAGAAGTTAATGGATGTTACGCTAGGTTTTCAAAAATATTCAATTGGATCTCATCTAAGTGGTAGGAGCTTCTGATACATAGTTATTGTAACTTGTAAGCTTACTCAAATTTATATCACACTTAACGCTACTTTTACTAAGAAATTTATGACATAATCTCATATATACATATACCACTCATTTTTTTTTCCATAGCGGAAAGATCTAAAACATTTCCACGGATACCTAAATTTGATGAATTTGCTAACAAGTACAATGAAAACAGTTTACCAAGCTTGCCAACTTGCAAACAAGTACAATGCTTCATAGTGAAGGGTAGCCACATTCATGGGGTCTCAATAATAAATGAACGGAGCAATTACCAATCAGGGTTGACAAAAAAAATTTACAAATACGTAGGGGTACAACTATTTCTTGTGAAAACAAACACAATAAAATATGATTCCAAATCACATTTCGAAACACATTTGAAAACATGTTTGGTAACCAGAGAGTTTTTGAATTTTTGAGTCTACTCGGTCGTTTGCCTAGACATCCTCCCGAACGTCCAGCCGGTTGACCAGAGCAGTGCTTTTTTTTCTTTTTTGCAATTGCCTCCTGTTATTTGAAAAAATAATAATAATAATATTTGTTTTTGATATTTTTTAACAAAAATGCTTTAGAGCTCTAATATAGGAGCTCTAATAGCTCTAATGGGAAGGTGTGACCCATTCTGATGTGATGTTTGTGCCTTGCTTTGTTTTTTTTTTTTTTTTTTTTTTTTTTTTTGCTTGGACACATCACTAGAGCTCAAATTAGAGCTCTAGATTTAGAGCTCTCTAGCATTTCCCATTTTTTAAATATAGAAATTATTTTTTTTAGCAAAATGACAAATTATTTGGCCATTTATTTAAAATTAACAAAAAAAATTAAATAAAAATTAATTTGTCACAGTAATTTTTAAAAAATAAAAAAACATTTTTAAACAAAACAATTAAAAAAATTTCAATCAAATATACAATCAAAAGTAAATTTAAAGCACTAGCTAAATATATATTTTTTAATATTACAAATAAAAAATATTTTCGAAATTTTTTGAATTTTTAAAATAAATTTTTTTTTTCAATAATTTTTTTTTTGAGTTGAATTTTAAAAAGAGTTTGGTTATGAGCTTTGAATAGAAATTTCAATAGAATTTCGAGTTGTGTATTTGGTTATGAGTTAACTCGTATTATTGATTAGGACTAAAAAAACAGGTAAAATGATGCGCAAGTCAAACAGATATAAAAAATTGCAGAAGGATTGACAATGATTATAAAAGGTACCAGTATATTATGTGAGAAACCAAACCAGTAACCAATCAAACAGAGGACCATTGTCTGTATTTGGCCAACATCATGATTATTACAATGGAATAGCACACGAACAACCAGCAAAATTCGAAAATCAAATCAGTGGGATCTAATTGTCTCCTGATATCAATAATCCACGTCACAGATACAGATTGGATTTCTCTTTATTCAATCAAGAGTCATTCTCTTCCACCTTTGAACATAATTTAATTTTTCAGTTTTTTAATTCCTCCAAACTTTAGATTAATGTCAGATATTGGTCTGATTTAAAATTTCAATCTTTAAAAATATACAAGGTATGGAATATTCAATATATACTATATACATGAAAAATATGAATAATAAAATAATAATAATACAAAGGATTCACTTAATCCACGTCTGTCAAAGCCACATGATATCAAAGATTACACATCTAGTTTTAAAAAATATTCCTTCCCAAAACTGAGGTTAAACTCCATCTAGCAACCGTCTATATGCTAGGGGCCATTGCTTGATGAAGTGGTTAAAGCTGTGACTGCCAAACGTGAGATTGTAGGTCAAGTTTGACCGTTTTGAGCAAGCAACTTTGAGAAAATTATGCCGAGTGTTAGGTCTTCTGTAGCAACAATTAGGAATAACCTTTTTTCAATTGTGTAATACGCTTGCATAGAATAAAGGTGAGGCCAAAAGTAAATATAAAGGGCACGAAGAACAAACTTTGCAATTCATTAAGGCCACATACAAAAAACACAAAATGAAATTAAGGGTTAAAAGTGGAATAAAAAAATAAAAAATGAAGTAGTTAACAGCTAGAAGACCCAAGTGTACCATTACAACACAAGCACAACTTAAAAGTGTCCAAGATTATAATCATTTCAAGAACGAACTATTGAGAAACGTAATTTAAAAAAAAAAAATTAAAAAAATAAAAATAAAAACTTTAGGTGAATCCCATCAGTAAGGTTCAACACACTTTTAATTTGAAAGGCAACTAATTAAGCAGACAAAAAGAAATGAGTGAGGGGACACAACACTATAAAACAGTACCAACATTTACAATAAAAGGCTAGAACTATATGCATATGTCATGTTAAAATAAAAGTCAAAATCTGCAAAAATTGGAAAATGGTTGGTTTCAATTCTAACTCACTAGGGATCAATTCAAGCCAAGTAAAAATCAGTTTTTTCCCGCCTGGTAAAGTCTCATTTTATAATTATTTTAATAAAGTTAGTTTCCTATATGATAATTTATAAGTACTGGAAGTTTTATCCCAAAAAATAAAAAATAAATAAATAAAACGACAACCGAAAAATCTAGTTTTGGTAAGTTCTATTCTCAGACCAGTCAGTTCATTTTTGCTTTTTTAAAACAAAAACTGACCAAAACCCACAGTCTATGTTATTCCCAACCATCCACCCTTGCACCATTAACCCAATCGTCCCTTTCACTACTTAGCCTCACCTCAGTCCTTATTTCCTTGTCTCACTCTTAGAGACTACGGTTGAAAGATGATGCCTCATCTGGTTGTCTGTCTTGCAGTGTATCCAGCCAACCTCTCTCTCAATGTCACTCTCCCTCTTCTCCATTAACATCTCACAAATCCATCTCTATCTCAAATCTCACCACGGCTGCTCAACATCTCTTGCCCACTAGTGACTTATTTTCTTTGTAGACATCTCACATCTGCATCTGCATCTGCATCTACATCTCAAATCTCACCTTGACTACTCAAGGTCTCTCCTTCACCAGCGACTGATCTTCTTCATTGATATCTCAGATTTCACATCAATTACTCGATGTCTCCGACTCAATTGACATCTCTCCCTCACCAGTGAA